CAATACGAACTCGATCATTTAGTTGAAAGTTTAACTTGGTAGGAGGAATTTAAGAATTTTGTTTAGCAATCAAACTTAAAACATGATTTTTTTTTTCACGTCGGGAGGCACCATTCAAATACCTCTGTTGACTTGATCGTTTATTGACTGAACGAGATTTTGAGATTTGTCAAAATAACGCCACGTACAATCCTTCCAAACATTTCGCTATTGGAGCTCCTAACGATCTGATAGCTCTTTTCGCCAATAATGCTTATTGTATTTTCACCAAAAAAGCGATACTTTCAGCTTTCATAGCTGTGGAAAAAACTTTGAATGATCACTCAAATTCTATCACCTGATCTGTCCACACCTTGTTAGGCGGGTTTGTTGGTGAACTAAAAACCATCCTAATTAAAACTTTTTTTTGCCTATTGAGCAGTGTTTGAGTTCATTGTCTGTACACGAACAAAGCGAGATAAAAATCCACATAAACCAAAGAACAATTTTTTCCATTGTTTATACGAGAGAAATTTGGTCCATTTAGGCTACCTCCATACGCCAATTTTCGTTTAGATCATGAGGAAGCACTAGTAATTGAGTAAATACAAGTCTTTTCCGAACGTAAAAATTTGTGTAAGCTGCCTCACTTCTTAAAAACTTCTCAACATCACAGTGTTCCAATTTGTATTTCGCCTCAAATGTTTTGAAATCATAAGCTGCTGGGACACACGACTTCTGTATTATGTTTTGTAGAATTTTTAAAGACTTCACATGCGGAAAGAGATCCAGTCCGCGCATCACTTCGCCCTAAAATTTCTTCAGAACTTTCAACATCACCACAACCATTATTACTAATTCTTTTTCGGTCAAGTTTTGGAGCCATTTCCTCGTCTACTGATAGAACGAGACCACCAAAGATGTTTTTATCATTTGAACTGAAATCAAATGTTCGGGAAATGCCAAATCTTGTAACAGTGAAAAGTGGTTTTCTGAAGGTGGAAGATTTTTTGGAAACGTGTTTTGAAGTCTATAGAGGAACAAACTTCTTTTGTTCCACCAGCTTTACTCAAAATTGAATCAACAACTGACTGATTGTTGACGTTAGAAACTTCCTCAGGAGCAATTACAGTTTGCTCCTCTTGCAGACTATTCTGTGACACTTTCATTAACGGGTTGGTATTTTTGCAGATTATAAACTAACAAGAACTTCGATTTTTCCGTAATTTCGGAATTACTTTAAAGGATTGTCTGGTAGTTTCTTACAGAACAAATAGATGTATGATAAAGTATTGTAAAGGTAAGATATGAGAAGATTTTAACACATCAACGATAAAGAAACAAAACTTTGAAAAACCAACTACCACAGGAAACAATTTTCTTAGCATGAGTTCAAGACGCCAGTGGGTTGATAAGTGATCAAAACAAAATAGCTTCAGAAAAATTTACAGTACATCAATCTGAAAAAAAGCTTGAAAGCGTTCACAATCTATTATCAAAAACGTTCAAATGAGCTAAATCATTATTACTTTCTGCTTAAGAATTTCGTGATTGATATCCTATAAAATCATTTTCATAGATGACCTAAAAATCAGCAAAGACCAAAATTTCCATAGATTTGCGCTTTATAAGAACTAACACGCTTTTGACAAACAAAGTCGGAACAAACCAAGTCGTGTTTTAAGAGCTTGAAGTTTCATTTTTGCTGCAAAAAAAATTATGATTATGATTTTCATTAAACGTTTCTGCTCTAACCATGTAATCGTTTTGAAAGCAGTATCGGACTTAGGGGGGAGAAGAAAATTTTACGCCTTTTTCTCAGGGAACCAACCCCCTGACTGCCCAAAAACCTCCCCTGTTTTTAGAACTAAATTTTTTCTACAGAAAGGGGCCTTCGCCAAATTATAGCTATTTTGATTGGAGGAGCGCGCGCCGAACAAACGCAACTTTTTTTCAGTCTAAACTGTGCATTTTTCAAAAAATTGAATGCGAGGCAAAAACTTGCAAAAAAAGTCTTTTCAGTGCTCGGAAAACCAATTTGGTCAACATAAACAAAAGGTGGACAAATTTTTAAAAATTTAAAAAAATTGCCACCTCGAAAAAATCCTGAGTCGACTTGGTGCATGATTTTAAAATGTGAACGTGTTCCAACAAGATTATTCTGGGAACATAAAAGCTACAAAAAGTTTTAGTACCCAAATGCAGCGGTGGCGTAGCATTTAGCATGATGCCGTTTAGCATGGGCAATTAAGATAATTGAGGCAAATCAATCATGTATATAAGTAAAATTTTATTTCAAATTTATCAAAAAATTTTCCGTTATTTTGTACAAGCGAGAGAGCCGTCCTATTCGGGGAGGTAAATGCTTCCATCTTTTTACTTTTTGTCGAACATTTGTGGGCAATTTTTTGGACATTTTAGACAGTGTACTATCAAAAAATATATTTTGCTGATGCAGACAAATAATGCGCAAGTATTGCACAGTCAACCTCAGTATCAATAAATCAATGATTAATCTGCAAAAAAAATTCGAGCTCATTTAAAATTGAAAACTCAAAATTTTGGATTTCCATACAAACTGTGCAAACCGAAACAAAACGGTCGATTTCGGGCTTGTGTATAATAAAAACGGCAACCAAGATGAAATTACAATTAGCGTACGAAGCTGAATAAAATTTTCAAAAAGGAAGCATATGATTCGGATTAATATCGGTTGAGATTTAAAATAGGTTTTAAGTGCAAAACGAAGAAACACAGTAAAAATTTTTGGTTTTCCGCTAAAAAATTTTTTAGAATTTTTGTGATTGAAATCAAATGAAAAAGAAAATCTAAAATCGGAAAAAAAAACATTCAAAAATCTTCGTCATAAAAATTTTATAAAGCTGCAAAAAAAAACCAGTAGTTGCGGAAACAACTACCTGCAATTTTAGAAAGAATGCTAAGAAGCAGACTAACCTTTAAAAAAGTTGTTTTTGCGAGAATTAAAACGGCAGACAAAAAATAAGCAGACAGACAATATCTAAATTAGTTTAAAACTTTCAGTTTGGCATATAAAAAAGTCCGACTGGAATCGAACTTCCGGGATTTGTCGCTGAGCATTATCGTTACAACTACTTTGAAAAAAACTGAACTTTCAAAAAAATTGGGCTAGGGGTCATAGCCGACAAAAATAATTATACGAAAGATAGACGAAGAAAAAACTAAAACTCAAGTCAAAAAACAGGTCGCGTCCGAATTCGAGCGACAAGCTTTTGCCGTCTCAAGCAGATGTGCAGATGTGGTACCTTACGCCAGATGCTCCGGATGTTCATTTGAATTTGATTTTATAATAAAATAAGTGTATGAAAGAGTCCAGGATTCAGATGAGTCCTTTGAAAAAAAGTTATTCACAGGAGAAAAAGTATAGTACCCGATTGCAATACCCTAGCTTATCACAAGGGTAAAAGAGGATTCGTTTTCAGAAAAATTGCGTTTTCTATAAAATTGTTGAGCTGAAGCAAAAAAAAAAATCAGCGAGAAAAAAAACGAGCTATAATTTGGCAAAATTATGGCAAATAACTAGCTTATATATTGATTTGAGGATCGGCAAATTTTGTATAACTCGGCAGACGTAAAATTCTCGAAATTTTTTTTTTGTCTCGAAAGGTTTTCCGATTTTTCAGTTGGATTTTTCCGCAAATCAGCAAAAAAATTTTGTCAAAACATTTTTAGGCCATTTTTCAGAGACTTTGTCGGATGTGGTCAATCTACCCTTAAATTTTTCCCCCAAACTCGTGCTGATTTAAATTAACCGGACAAAACGCGTTAAACTTGAAATTTAAAACGCGTTTTTCTCAAATTGGGTTGAGTTTAGGTACAAATTTATGAAGACAAAACTTGCATAAATTTTAGCAGAATTAATATGGTGTAATATGTTTTGCGAAATTCGGGCCCAAAATTTTACCCCAAAAATGGGTCATTTTGGCTTTTCTTAGTTAATCAAAAATTACGCCGAAAATACCCAGTCGATCACAGACATAATTATATCAAAGTGAGCCCCTTACGCAGCCCAACAAACTCTATGAAAGGTATTTTCTCCAAAAAAATTGCAAATTGTTTAAAAATTGTTTTTAAATAAAAAGTTGGTGTTTTATATAGTAAAACGACCTTTTTTGTCTATCAAACAAAAATAAATTAACCTATACAATATTTTCGAGATTATAGCCTGGTTAAAGTTTGTTGGGCTACGTAAGGTGCTCACTTTGATATAATTATGTATGCGATCCACTGGGTATTTTCGGCATAATTTTTTATTAACTAAGAAAAGCCAAAATGACCCATTTTTGGGGAAAAATTTTGGGCCCGAATTTCGCAAAACAAATTACACCATATTAATTCTGCTAAAATTTTAAGCAACTTTTGTATTCATAAGTTTTCACCTAATTTCAATCCAATTTGAGAAAAACGCGTTTTAAATTTCAAGTTTAACGCGTTTTGTCCGGTTAATTTAAATCAGCACTGTACTTAATGAATAGCAATTGTGCATATTGGTGTTTAACTAAAACCGATAACTTTACTCCCCCTTTTAACTTAGAAAGTGGTGAAAAACGTCAAGTTAAACAATAAATCTGTATCCAATTAGTTGCTTCAAATGACTGCTCTTTTTTTGTTCCGACCAGCGGAATTGACCGACCAACCAAATTTTTTCTGACCAAAAGCACCGGTGTGTTCCGACCGGTGCTCTTCTTTTGTTCCTTTTAGGAAGTGCGAGCCGAAAAAAACGCTTTTTTGGTCAAATTTTCCCAAGTGCTTGAAAACACCTTTAGCCTACATAGCAAAAAATTTTGGTCAAATTAAAAATTAAGGTCTTTATAGTGATTTGAGCCAGCTCCAAAAATCTAATTGATCGACCGGAATAAAAAGTCGACCTAATTAACATTTTTTTTTGAAAAACCGCCAACCGCCCCCTCTCTCGACCCCCCCCCCCCATGAAAAAAATCCTAGATCCACCCCTGCTTTCTATTATCTGATATAAAAGCGCGCAATGACAAATTAAATTCAATTTTTTATATCTTTGAAATAAAACCGCTAGCGGTAAAGCCCCTGAGAACAGATTACATGTACATTTTCCCAGTTTACTTTTCCCCTCATTGATATTCATAAATCAAACTCAGTTTTACAAACGAGTAGCTCAGTACGTAATTGTGTTGGCCACAAAAGCGGCAGTAAAGTTTTTTATCGAAACTGTTTTTAATCCAGTCCTGAGTTGTACCAAGTTGCAGTTGCAGTAGAAGTAGTTCATTAATTGAGGTCCATGGACGGTCTGTGTGTCTTTTTATTTAGGAGACACACTTCCGATCACAGTCTAGTCCGACTTCTGTCGGTGTAGTTCGTCGGCTACCGAGTCCTGCTGTGATGCAGGCTGCGCGGAGTAGTGGTTGTTTTGATCTTGTTCGGAGATGCGGCCACAAGAGGCTGCTGTTTTTATCCTGGCAAAGGGTCCGATGTCTGGGTTGAGCACGAAGTCCACCAGACACTTGACCCAGCTGGTGTGATGTGGCAGAGAGTCGTAGTACTCAGGTGCCATCTTCTTCAATTTGGGCAGCTTCCTACACACATCTTATATATAAACCAAAAATCACAGATCAATCACAGAATACACAATCAAACTACGGCCGCATATATCGGCGATAATTCAGCCAGAACGGATCTCGCCATTACTAGCACAGAAAACGAAAACAACCTTTATAAAGTAATTCAGAAAAACGTTATCGAGCCCAAAACGAACCTCCAAGGTCAGAAGAATTCAGAAAAACGTTATCGAACCCAAAAAACGAACTTCGAAGCTCTCATTTTCACGAACATTTTACGATGGACACTTTTAAACATAGATAACAGAGTTGAAACTAGGTAAACCGAAAAAAAAAGATTTTTAAGAACATTTTTCGAATTTTTGTCGTTGTAAAAGTATGCTTACAGCTCTTTCAGTTTCAAAAACACTATATGATTGACAATTTTTAGACACAATTAATTCTATCTAATTAAGACAATTGGCTGGCTCAATGGGTATTTTAAGCCCTCCAAAAGTCAATAACTTTTTTTTCGCGGCACTCTCACTTCACGAGCATAACTTTGAGAGCGCTATTCGAGTGCTTAATTTGAACTCCTTTTAGCATAATAGTCTAATACAGCCAATAGCGAAATTAGAGGAAGGGGTCAATCGATTGGGCCTACCTAAACACAGAACGATAAAACTTTCAAGCAAATCCTCCTCTTGTCCCTGCTATTCTCTACCTCGAGCAGATGGAAAACATTCAGATTGAATTTCGAAGTTTTTGAAGCTCTTTGATTAACAAATTTTCAATAAATTTTTCAAAAAGAAAAAATTTCATTTTCATAAAAATTCCCTTCACGACCAATATTTGAACCTTGGTCAATATACAATTGAAAAAAATAATGGACGCAAAGAAAAAGACAAAAATGTGACTTGTTTTTACAAATATATATGGCTTTAAAGCTCTACACAGAGGTCAGGCGGAGCTTCGAATCACTTGCGATACAACGCAAGCACAGCATTGCAAGCGAGCGAATACAAAATGAGACGAAAATAACAAATCGAAAAAATATATATATCACAACCAACACTATTGAGCCAAAAACAGCCGCTCCAAACCGCTTCTTCAGCCGAAAACAAAAAAAAATGCTATAAAATTTTTGAGCAATAAAGTTTTAACACTATAATTTTTGCAAGGTAAATTACCTGATTTTTAATCATTCATTTGTTGCCCTTGAAGCGACATACACCAAAGTAACTAAACCAATAAACATAAGCCAGAAACATTTAGGCCGAATGAAGCTTTTAAGCGAAACAAAAACAAAAAAAGAAAACAAACCAAGTCAATGCTATTAACTTTAAAAATTACAGGAATTCATCAAAAACACTTGTATATGCAACGCAAATTGCTGGCCGCACGAAAAAACTCAACAATGTGGCAATTAAACAGACAAGCCATAAGCAGACAAACAAAAGTGCGACAATAAAATTTTCCCAAATAATTTACACAGAGGCGAAGCTGCGCTTCACAAACACTAGCAGAACACGACAAAAAAACAGCTATATAAAGTGAAATAAAAAAGTAGGAATAAGCCTCGAATTTGCTAAGTATCGAACTCGAGATTTGGGTTCCCACGTTCTGCACTCTCGGCCGCGGACTCTTAACAATCGGCTCACACTAGTCAAAAGCATCTACACATGCTACATCAATTGCCAAAGCAGTGCAGCAAAAGTGGCACCAGAAACAAATAGAAACAATTTTTCATGCAACAATTTTGAATAAAACATACTGAAGGCATCCGCGCTAGTTTTGCAGGTATTACACTGGCAAGCATAAAGCCACATTGTTTAAATTATGCGTGTCAAAAAATTGCGAGATATACTGAGTTAGCAAAATTCTGACAACGAGTTTTTATTAATGATGTTTGAAAAATAGCTTTTTTGGCTTGTTTGATGAATTAAAAATGAACTTTATTGACTGATTACTAATCGAATATCAAAGCATATGCTATCAAAAAGCCGTAAGGGCTTTTTTTGACAAAATGGCACCAAAAATTACAAATTAGGTTGGAACAAAAGAATAGTCGTACTATTACACTACGCTGGCTAGTGCAATTACAATTTCATCGATACTAAAAAAAGGTCCAGCTGGGACGCCAACCCCGGATCTTAGGGAACAGAGACAACCGCGTTACCTCTAGGCCAAGTGGAAAGAAGTACCGAAGTTGCTAAGGTTCACTAATAAAGTATCTTCAATTTCAACTTGATATCTAAGAAAAGTTGTCTACGAGAAAAAAGTCTAGTCACCAATTACAAGAAACTTGCTTTCGCAAGTGCAATGAACGTCAAAAAAAATTATGATTGACATTTTTTTGATAGAAATAAGCCAAATTAAGAAAAATGGGTCAATCGCTGGGAAATCTGATAATTAATCTCCATTTTCGACGAGAGAAGTCAATCACGTTGTTCGTAAGCTTTACACTTTAGCTGTTTGATAGTGGAGTTTGCCTTCCTTTTAACAAAGGAAATGAACTGAACTTAAAAAGAAATCAAAAGAAAAACCGCGAAAAATGTTTCAGCGTGAACAAAATTAAGGCTCTCTTCCTGATAAAAAAATTTACCGCGACCTGATTAAAAAACTCATCTGAGTCTTCAATTCGTTCATTGACATCTTAAAACAAAGCTACATTTTATAAGGCCTTACTTCAATAAGACCTGATTGGTAGAGAAACTGATTCCAGTAGAAAATTGAACTATCGTTTTACTTTTGAACTCAAGATATCGACATTTTTTAGATGATTTTTCGACAACGACGTGAAGCAGAGCTACTAGCGACATCACAAAAACATGTCTTTGTCAGCTGATGGACAGAGAATGAAACAACATAGCCAATCGAAGATTGAAAAAGAGTTATGAAAAAACACACTGACTTTGAAAAAATCACAAATTTCGTTTTTCAACGAAAAAATAGATGCCCTTTAAGCTCTTTGAATTTCTAGATCGATTTATGATTGTCGCTTTTTTGACAACATTAACCGAAACTGAGAAAACTGGATCAATACGTAAAACTTTTATTTCGCTGGGAAATCTGATATTTAATTTCATTTTTCGAAACCAGAAGTCAATCACATTTTTTGTGACCTTTACACTTTTGCAGTTCGATAGTGAAAATAGATGCCCTTTAAGCTCTTTGAATTTCTAGATCGATTTATGATTGTCGCTTTTTTGACAACATTAACCGAAACTGAGAAAACTGGATCAATACGTAAAACTTTTATTTCGCTGGGAAATCTGATATTTAATTTCATTTTTCGAAACCAGAAGTCAATCACATTTTTTGTGACCTTTACACTTTTGCAGTTCGATAGTGGAGTTTGTCATCCTTTTAACAATGGAAAAGCAGTGAACTTAAAAAGAAATCACAAGTCAGCCCGCGAAAAATCAAAATTGAGCGTGAACAAATTTTAGTACTTTTTTTCTGAAACAAAATTTAAAAAAATCGGCAAGACCGATATAAGAGTCTTCACTACGTTCAATATTCAGTCGATAACAAAAATTGACAACTACTACACTGAGGTTCAGGCAACATTCCTCAGCCCAAAAAATAACCAACAGATACTAAACAGAAAAAAATACTTGCTTTTTGAAAAACTCGAAAACAGAAGCCCTTACAACTATTTGAATTTCTAGAACAATTTATGATTGGCACTTATTTGGTAAAATTAACCCAATTTAAGAAAACTGTACCAATAAGTAAATTTTTATGTCGCTGGGAAACCTGACACACAGGCGACTTGCGATACAACACAAACACTAAAAAAATCAGTCTAAATTTTTTAATAAAGCCACTTGCGATACAACACAAACATTAAAAAATCAGTCTAAATTTTTTAATAAAGCCACTTGCGATACAACACAAACATTAAAAAAAGCAAGTAGAAATTTTTTAAAAGCTAAAAAAATATGTCTACCATAACTTAAATTTTCCCATGTCTCGTTGGAAAACTCTAGGCAAGCAAGCCCAAACATTTGAGTATTAAATTAGCAACAGAACAAAGTTTATGAAGATGAAACGAATCAAATAATTTTTGAGCAGATATCAGCTGAGCCAAAAAAATGACTTTAAAAAAGTTAACGTTTCAAGTCCTCGCGTGAAACTGCAATGAGCAACACTTGCAATGCAATGCAAGTTGTTTAAAGCATAAGAATAATCCCTGATGTGTCAACTAAGTCGACAATCTTTAAGCAGACGCCAGTTTAGCGAAAAATATGATGTTTCACCGGACTCGAACTAAGGATCTTTGTCGTGCCAGAGAAAGACTTTACCGCTAGACCAAGTGTACCAAAAAAAACTGAACCAATAAATAAAGATAGTTGAAAATATTCAGTAATTCTGTTGAAGAAGTTGGTGGTATATTTGCAATTGCTAATTTTTGCATGCACACAAGTAATCCGCCTAATGCGTAAAAGTTTTTCATATGAAAAAATTAAAGAGATTGGAATATAAACATTAATTTTAAGCTCTTTTCCACTACCCCACTCCTCTGCTCCTCCCTCCCTCCCTCCTCGCACTTTGCGAATTTTCAATTTTTTTTCATTTGTCTTAAGCGTTATTATGGCTGATTGCGCGCTATCACGATGTAAGGCATGAAGAGCAAATCAGTTTGGTCACCGTGCTAATTTTCATTATGACAACGTAAAATTTGTTTTTCAAAACTGAAATTCAAATATGGGAGGGGGGGAGTGGAAAAGAGCAAAAGTTATCGTTTTCCTAATCAGGCAATTTTTTTTTCGCTCTTCTCCAGTTTTCTACCCCCCCCCCCCCCTCATAAAATAACAAAATAAAGCTGTTCAAAAATGTTCACACGGCAGTTTCCAAAAAAATTGTTGTTTAAATTTGTTCACGCTGACACGTTTTGATGCACTTTTAAACATTAAAAGTCATTTTAAATATACTTTCATAAATGAAACTTAGAAAAAATGAAGTTGGGACTGGAAAAGAGCCATTCTTTCTTATAAAAAAAGCTTTTCCAGTCGTTTTTATCTTTCTTAAACAAAAATTCAGGCATGATATTTTAAATTTAACAAAGCATTTTTTGAACAAAACATTGCATTTTTTTATTGCTTTTAGACAAAAATGTACTTCATATACTAACTACTATATCACCAAAAGGTCTTTCTCACAATTTCATGGCTTTTGCCAATCGCAAGCGAAAAAAAAAATCTTTTTAAAAATCGGTGATTTCCCATAGCTCCCAATATTAATAGCACCCAAAATAAAAAAAATCTGTCGCTTAAGTCTTCTTAAGCAAAATATTGTCTTCTTGAAGCCTGATTGATTGAAATTTGAGCCAACGCACTTATGGATTGATTGTTTACCGTTCAAGCAGCATAAACTCAAGCTGCAGAATAGAAACCGCCACAGTCGCGTCAACGTGTTGCGAGCTTGCCAACGGACAGTAGGACTATGCGAAATTAAGAGCCGGTTTATGACCACCGGCGACCTAACACCGAGGCTCGGCTAAATTAGTCTTTGACAAATTGAAAAGATTCGGGACTTATGCGACTGCTTTTTCACTTTGTGACCTACGAGAATATGCACCAAAAATTCATCTGATTAAAAGTCAATACTTTCTTCCTAAGTGGGCAAATTAAAACATGAAAGCTGTTAGCGCGTGCTAACTAATACATTTTATTACTATAATTTATGCATTTCCTTTACAACTTTGTGGATCAGGTTTTAGCAAAAACCTTTCTAAAACTAAGAAAACCCTTCATCTATCGTTATCTAACCTTGAACTAATTTAGGGCTAGTTTCGGTTTTCAGTCAAAATAATTTTAGTAGCTAACTGAGCTTCTGCCGCAATTAATTAATGATACATCATTTTGTTCAAATTATGCTCAGAAAAAACTGTTGAAATTGGAAATTGATTAGGATGCACACAAAACAGATTGTAAAATAATGGATTTCCGAAAAAAATTGAAAATTACTAAAATCTTGAATTATAAATTCATGAATTGAATTCTGTCTTTGCTTTTTAACAACCGTCCTTGCCAATAAAAAGGTTAACCAAAAAAATCTAACATGTCGTTTAAAACATTGATTGAAACCATGCTTCATTGTAGACGCGTAGACAAGTACATGCTCGAATAGTCCTAGAATTTGTGGTCCTCAAAAATACATTTAAAACGCAGTAATTACCTCCGCGGTAATTCTCTTTTCAGATAATTTACAGCTGTAAGAACTTAATTAAGGAGACAGCACCGCTGTTTGGTGCGTATTCGACTATAACAGTACTGGCGTGGCGATCTTCAGCTGGGAATGAAAACCCACTTTTGAAACTAAAAAACAAACTCAAGCTCATCGTGCTGCTATTATGTTTCTGTCCAGCTACGTAGAAGTTGTGCGTTAGTTAATGCAAGATTGGTGTATCGTGAGACTAGCCTGTAGGATATCCAGGGGAAGTCGTGGTGCTCGTTGTGGTAACCGACATTCCAGCAGATATAGTTCATGGGTCCGTAGTAGCTGCTCGTCTGCTGACCATTGTCGAAGAAGATGTAATGTTCCGATATGAAGTGGCCGGCCATTGGGTGTAGTCCCATGCCCAACAGAGAGCCACCTAAAAACACGCACTTTTACTCGCACATCAATATAGAGACACGAATAAATCACAAACGTAGTTGAATAAGTGTCAATAAACGCACGGAAACAGAAAAAAAACACTGACTTGTTTTTTTTAAATCAAACTTTCAAATTTCGAAAAATTGGATGCCGTTAAAGCTCTCCGACTTTTAAGATCAGCTTCTGATTGAAATTTTTTTGATAAAATTATCGCAATTTGAGAAAACTGAATCATTAGATAAAGTTTTTATTCGGTTGGAGAATCAGTGAAAACAAAATCAGCTTTCTCAAAAAAATCGACGCTTTCAAAAACAGTTTCAGAAAAAAAATTTCTAGTTTTTATAAACGATATCAAATTTTTCAACTTCAAAAAAGGAAATATGAACTAGAAATTTTCGTGACCTAGCCACAGTTGCTAAAATAATTTTTCTAGAATGGGCCCGATGAACTTTGTTGAAGCCAAAATAGCTCGAAATTAGAAGCCCCGACGTCTCTTCTCTGAACTAAATAGTCTGATCTAAACCCTTTATAGGACAAATTTTGGAAGAGCCTTTCGGAATTTTGACGAACAAAATTTTCCGGAAATTAGACGATTCCCACATCCGAAGACTCCTAATCGACGTCAGAATTTTCATCGTGATCATTTTATGACATCTTATTTTCAAACGAATCATTCTCCGACTAAGCTGACCCTTTAATGTACTGTTTTCCGAATATTCTGATCTTTTAAAGCCTAGTTTTCTGTCTTTCTGCCTAGTCTTCATGCAGAATACGATGCATGGTTTTCCTAGTACTTTTATGCATGGTTTTCCGATTGATTCGACGTATTCATTCAAGGTTTCCAGACTACGCCGATCTGACCATGTATCATTTTCGACAAACCCCCGTCTAAAACACGCCACTGGAATAGGCGTGCAATGGCTTTTATATATATATCGAAAAAAGAGGTTCTTTCGATTTGTGGTCTAGTAACAGGTGTGATTAGGACGTAGTACCTAGGAGGTAGAAGAGTCCCTTGGGGCCTCCGACGTGCACAAGCATCAGGTAGTTAAAGCACATCTGTACAGTGAAGCTGACGACCTCCCAAGGAGTCACCGGTTTCGGGTACGCAATGCAGGGCCGCAGGGCGTAGAAAAAGGGATTCAAGACCAGCCACAACACCTAACAAAACATAATGAAACGCATATCACATGGACACATACGCACACACTGGCACCATACACCACAATTGATTAGACCTTCTTCCTTCCATTATCATCGTTATTGTCATCAAAAGAGTTTAAATTACCGCCCATTTTTGGATTCAAGTTGGTCAGATCAATTAGAATTTTGCTGATATTTCTTCATCTTCAGCCTCCCACTAGCCCTTAAAACTCGCCTTCTCCGGTCTTCAACCAGGCTTTAAAATGTCAAACCAGGCGTTATATGATTGAAATTAAGTAAAATTGATCCTCGTGTTTTTGGTTTTTCAAGGTCTCGCCTCGATGAGCCTCAGGGCTCGTATCCAATCCTTGTGAGTTAAATATTACGTATAGATTTAGTATACGTATATTTTCTCACTAAGTAATTCAATTCAATTCAAAATGGCAGCAACTTAAGCACACTCTCAATTAGAGAGAATGAGACGGGGATATTTACAGTGTTTATTCATTATACATGCAATGCGGATCACATCTGGACAGTTTAAGGTGGCTCCTAAGGTTTACTGTGTAGATAGTAGGAGTATATCGTTAAGGGTTCTTTAGTTGTGGCTGTGCTGTTGTTACCTTGGTGAGGGTCCTGTTGAACATCTTGGCCTCGATGGGGTGTGGGATGTCCTGGTCTCTGACATCGTCGCCCATGAACTGGTGGTGTTCACTGTGGTACTTCTTGAAGGAGATCGAGGCAGGCACTCCAATCGGCAGAGTGATAAACATGCCGAACAGTCTGCCCAACAGGTAGTTCCTAGTGAACACTGTGTTGTGCGAGTTCTCGTGCATAGCCAATGTCAAACTCTGATTCACAGTACCACCTACACCCACACACACACACAATTATACATTAAGTAACTACAAAACACGCACAGCACTAGAGAAAAGTGAAAATATATGGGGCTATTCTCATGACAGAAGGACCAAATAGAAACTTTCAAACAATCACCAAATTTATTCTTACAATTATTAAATAATAAATTCTCATTGGCCCATTTAATTTTCGGACATTCAGTCCTTCTGACATTGGAAATTTTTCCGAAGAGAAGTACATCCAAATATATATACATTACAGAATAAAATCAGATTAAAGACACTAAGAATTGAGTGGATAGAGAACATTTTCGCCCACAATTTTCACTAATATCAATCAAATAAACAGTAGAGACAAAACAAGAGCTGAACTCAACTCAAGAACTCAAACAGTCTCAAAAGGAAATTGGGGCATCATCCCGCTCATACAACAGGAACAGGCAGACACCCCCACGAGATATTTGAAGAAGGAAACAGGAAGTCTAATATGACCACTAGAGACCCTCTTCCCTGAGTACATACATACCAGTAGTACGAGAAAGCAACGCCGGCTACCACCTAATTGTCAAGTAACACTCCATCAGCACATCAATCAACACACTATCATGTCAACATTCACTTGACATATTTAAGATTTGGACACTCTTCTTAGTCGCAGACAATAATAGCATCAAAAAACAAACACATTCAACTCTCATTTGCCGCCGCTCATTTTAAACAACAGTCACGCAAAACAGGACCGATTGGGTTTTCAATGACGATGTTGATCTGAAGGTTAAACAGAACCGGCTATTCAAATTTTTCGCCTCATGATAGATTAACAAATGATCAAACAAAGCCAACGCCCAATTAACACCCTCTGCTCACCTCAAAGAGCAAGAAAAGAAAAACTTTTCCAATTGTTGTGATAAAATAATTAAATAGTTTCAGAAAAGGTAAGTGACAGAGTCAAATAATAAAACCACTGATCCTATTGATTAAACAGATCCAGACGCCAATTTGGAAAATACATTTTCTGATATTAACAACTATCTACCACTGCATTACCCAAATATCTAAATCAAACACCAATAACTCCACTTGCCAAGTCTGAGAACAAGAGGCGAAGTGTAGTACTGATACCGTGTTAAGAAAATTATGAGATATCACAAGCTGCAGCTAAACGTTCAAAGCAGAAAAAAGGGCCTCAAAATATTGAAGCTTCCAGGAAAAAAATATTGCCTCAATTTACCAACCGTCATAATGCAGGAGCTGGAATAGAATGTAAACTATGGAGGACGTTGTGTCTGATGTGTACCAAAAAACACAGAAAATTGTTATCTGAAACATTTCTGCAAGAAACAGGAAAAATTAGTAAGTTACAATAAGTTACGAAGTTACTTTCCGGGATACAGCTAGAACGACAAATCGGACTGCTTTCAAGGCGGAGTTTTTCATCGTGAATATTTTGCACCAGGAATCTAATCAACTGCTCATGAAACCCTAGGTGTCCTCAAATGGCTAAACTCTGAAGTTGCTAATGATTTCCAATTAAACGTAAAATCTCTATGCACGCACCATGCATTGGAAGCTTTGATAACCATGCTTGAGTCACCACCTGACGCATTTCTAGTTGAAACCTAGCTTCTTAAAATCCACGCACAAAATTTCCTCAACTCTCAGGTTGCAACACCGACGATGAGCGGAGCAAAATTGAGTTGAAACACGGAAGTGGTCGTATATCAATGTAAAGACAAGGTTACTCTCCTTGAATCAAATCCAAGCTAGTTACCAGAAAATTTATTAGGTCACGTGAAAGTATTCCTTGGAAATGTATTTTACTTAATATTTTTATTCCACCTCAAGCCGTAAAATATAGTTTCCTTGATAAACTGGATAAGATTTTTGAGAATTTATTAAACAAAAACAAAGATAACCGGTTACTGTGCAGTGTTCCGACCATAACCTTTAAAAAAATTCTATTCCAGAAACTATTTTTACTCGAGTAGAATTAAGTTTTCACGGCTTAAATCAATCAAAAATAAGAAATGTAGGCCTGCTCTCACCTTAGTCGCTCAAAATTAGACTAAAACTCAAAAATTTAAACAGGTTTTTCTCAACGCTGAGATATATATTTCTTAGTTTATCAAACTTGTTCGAATCACGACTAAAAGGGCTTTAATATGATATATCACTCGACATATTTTGATGATTATTTAATTTATCTGATTCTACGTGCAAAACAAAACACACCCGAAGACAAGGTTTCTCCCCTTTTTCAATTGTCGGAACAATTATCCTGTTATAGCCAGAGGCAACTTCAAAATTGATATTTTAAAAACCATAAACCTTTTCAAAATCTTGACCTCACTGAAAGCAATAACTCCAAACAAAGATTTACGAAACCAATGCGAATTGCAAAGCAAGTGAAACTCTTTTAGATTACTCCTTTGTTGAAGATTTTAAAACTTAAACTGCTCAAGTGCTTGATAAAACGTCTTTATCTGATGAATAATCAATTACTTTGCAGTTTAGAAACATCGCTCCTAATTGACAAAGAAAGAACCTTGCCGTGATACTGGTTTTTCGAACTCGTTTCTAAAAGTTGGCAACTTGTATCAGGAGATATCACAATTGAAACGACTAATTATTTAAACTCATTAGACGATTTCTTTTATCAAATTGAATAGAATTTTGTTACACAAAAATGCAATTCGCTACTCTAAAATCATTCAGCTCGAAGTGAATAAAACACCTGCCAAAGGCAAGAAGTTGTTTCAAAACTGCGCAGAAGAAACCTGAAAATTAAAATAGAAAATAAGGTAACCAACTATTACAAAAAACTAGAAATTCAGGGTTAATCAGGAAAACTATGTAAAAAATTGAATAAAATTAATGGCACGGCATGTAACAGAGAAGGAAAAATCGTTTCATTTAAAAACCAAATGGAAAAATTATCACTTTATATGCAATTGCAGATGAGTTTAACGGACATTTTCTCAACTATCGACTTTGAGCTGGTCAACACTTCTTGAGCAAACCTTGAGTAAACAAACTTTTGTATGCATAACATGCCAGTTACAGCACTGAAAATAGATAATATAATTGCATTTATGCAGAACATGACAACCACGGATTTTGATAGTATAAGCAAAACAATTGTTAAAGCAAGCAGAGCGACTACTGAACCCGTACTTAAATTTCCGATTAAGTCTATTAAATCGGCGTTCTTCCAAGCTTTTCGATGGCAGCCGTATTTCGTCTGCTTTAAAAAGAAGGATGAGGGCTCAGTTTAGGTTATTACCGTCCAATATCTCTCCTCAAAACCTGGGATGAAAAATTTTACCGTGCTGTAACTTATTTATTTCAACAGTTAGGCCTACAAAAAATAATATTGTTGCAAATGTTAAAATAACTGAAAGAACACGCCTAAATAGGAAAATTGAACAGAGGACAAGTTGCACTTCGCACTGACAAGCTAAAGTATGACCGATAACGCTACTGGGAAAAACTGAATGATTAAAACTTTGAGTCTACATAATTTCTTCATTGACTTACGCCAATTATGAGTCTACATAATTGCTAGGTAACGCAAGCCAATTATAACGCATTAGCTGTACCAGTCAATTTGAAAAAAAAATACCAACTAATATGCCTCAATTTATAGAGCCGACGCATTTCAACTAGTTTGCGAAAAAGTTCATTAAAAACAACCGACCCTGCCCAGGTTCGAACTCTCTTATTTTGTTGCGGGTGTCCGACCCTGCCCAGGTTCGAACTCTCTTATTTTGTTGCGGGTGTCCTTCCCTACCTCTACGCTACAGATCTATTATACCTTGAAGCTAAAGTGCTACTTGTAATATAATAGTCTGTGTTAATGACCTTAGCATTGGCTGTACTTAATAGCTGCTTATTGATCAAAATGAACACTTTCAAAATGAGCACTGATATTTGCGATTTAGCTTGGAAAAAAAAAGAGTTCATAAAATCACACAAGCTTTGCTTGTGTAAAAAACTGAACTGTTTTTCTTGATTTTAAGATATAAAGAAAGCGACCGACACACTTGATCATCAAATGCTTTTCAATTTTTTTTTAGAAATTCAAATTAATCGTTGATCTTGGCTTGAAGTGAATTACGATGTTCTGCAGGGCTCCAAATTGGTACCCCTGTTGTTACACATATTTCAATAACATATCGTATGTTTGCAGCTCATGGTAAGTTTTTTTGTTCACGAACGTCCCAATCAACAGGATTAAATTGTTCTGTTGACAGTTCGAATAACCATCTAAAAACGGTGAATGGAGGTCTAATTATTAACAAATTATCACGATATATGGATAAAACGGTGTACTCAAACTTAAAGCTGCTGCTTTCAGTTCTTTTTTACATCAACAACTTACAACTAGTAAGTGTTTCTTTGTGCAAATATCTTGGTGTTTACTTTGATTCTAAGTTATCATTATATGTTCACAAAAATTCTGTGCGAAACAACAGCAGGGAACAACGTGGGCTCGTTTCAAAAACGCATCATTATTTCCAAAAATGATTTTACTCGAATATTATACTACCGTGAAAACCGTAGCGCAAAATTGGCTGAACCAGTATTTTATTTAGTATTGAATTTGTGTGTATGCTGTAAAAATCAAACTTGTTCTCCGCATATATTGAAACCAAAAAAGAAGAAACAAATGAAAGCAGGAAAAAAACCACAAAAAAAATTTCAGCAAAAAATAGCTTCAAAAACTTTTCAGTGCATTGACTGTGTGAAAAATTTCCGAAAGAAGAATTGAAGGAAACCGTGCATACATCATTTTTTGGGAACTCGAAACTTTTAAGCCAAAAATAAAACAAACATGAGTCCTGTAGTAATATTTCGTCAACGTTGAAATTGTACACCTTGACCAGGTAATTTTTAGCTGTGATTATTTTTCATTTTTCTTAAAATTGATTATGTCCTGATTTGATGCAGTCGCCACACCTAAGAGTAGCTTTTTTCTTAAAAATCTGTCAGACCGCAAGATATGTTGTTCACGTGGCAAAATCTTTATCTCGATAACAAGATGCTTGCTCTCGCAAGTGTAAACATTGTTTAACAAGCAGCTTGAACAGATTTGCCTTTTGAGGAGTCTCAATATGAGCTACTAGTGCTCAAAAAATATTGTACTTATGATCTCCTTGCGAAAAGCTAATGAATCGGAGTGGGAAAAATGACATATCGTGAGTTTTTTAATGCAATCTGACGCACCTCGAAGCCAGCTCGTAGTTGATTGTATTGAAGCCATTTCAGCCGTGTATATAAATTATAATAGGTAAAATAAAGCGAAAATTGCTGTAGATAAGGATCGTCGGAGATAGACAGCCAAAATTCCTTGTAGTTTAACCAAAATTTTTTTTTTAAATAACCCGTTTTTCCCAACGTGAAACCATGAGTAAAAGCGCTTTAATATGATGCCAGACTCAATCCTCTGAGCAGTTTTCCTCAAAATACCCAAAACCGGGCATTTCCTCCAAAAAAAAACACTCTTTTTTTCCCGTTTTTCAATTTTTTTTGCATTAGTTTGTGTAGTCTGAGCATCCTGTGCTCCTTGCACAACAGTAACCGGATGCTCATATTTCTCTGGAATGCTTAGTGAGGTATAAAGTAGTGTCAGTAGTGTAATGGGCTACGTGGTATGAGAGTGCACCTATGACGTATGCGAGTAGAATGGTGATTGGCCAGGAGGCGTCCTGCAGCATCCAGCACATGCACACCTGGAACGCCACAATCCAGGGCACAATAAACAGCATCGAGTAGTCAGGGCCATAGAGCTGCTTCACCTGTGGGTACTCTTCTACAACACACGCATAGTGGTCACCCGCGCCAATCAGCAGTACTTAAACTAACGGGGTCAAAAATCGGTGGCTGGTTTGGACATTTTTGGACACAAAAAGTTTTCTCAATAAGGTGTTCAAAAAATTTTTAAATTCTCTGGTATTAATAGTTACAATCAAGCCAATAATGGGCAGAAAATTGTCTCGAACAGCAAAATGGTTAAATTTCAGTATTTAACTGCTAATATTAATTTGATGCTCTATAAATTTCGTTGGGATTCTTTCATAGGTCCTTCAAAAAGCACAAAGTAAGAAGGGGTCAATTTTTAAAGGGGACAACAAACAAGAGAAGTTTAACTGCGGGGGGGGGGTCTTCAATTAATTAGCGCAAAGTACTGACTGATTATTTGTTTTCTGCGAGAGGCGTGAGGCTCGTCAGTGTACGTGTATTCGAACTCTGTCCGAGTGCATTTGGCCCCCATGATATCTCCAGCCTAGTCAGGTATTCTTCCCTATTATATATGCACAACAATCTACAGCCCAAAGACAAATTGCAGTATCTAATAATGATGAGATGATGCTGCCTTCTTTTTTTCTCAACAGATGTTGGTTTAGTCGTTCTCAAGATATGATGAAGGAGGATTTGTGTTGTTGTTGTGCGTGATTACTGATATTAGTAAATTAGTATGTGGTTCCAGCGAGGCAACGTGCAATGCCAAAGAGTGGAATCTAGTCAAATCCAGCAATCACACACGTTAACGACTGCTACTGCCCAGTCTGTCGACGTTGACCAGTAGTATCTACCCTGTGTATACGTCTAATGTTCGTGTGAGTGAGTGAATGTCTGCAGAATAATTCTACCACTCTCTCGTCCACGACTACTACTGATGCAGATGAACAGGATGAACACAAGGTGGATAGGCTATTGTAATTAAAGGTAAATTAATCGATGCAGCTAGTGATCAATAAGTAAGCTACACAGCTAATCTGAAAAGACACACCATATACACGACATTATATTACCATATCGCCAATAAGTAATAACAGCAAACACTACTATAGACTATACACTTACTTCTAAAACATAACAAAACGAAAGAAACCACACGAATATCTATCTCAAAATCAATACAGCCGCCATGTCCACAACGCAGAATCACAGAAGCACCAGACAGCCACCAAAAAAGACAAACACATTCTAATTTTGTATTCAACTGTACTGAACTCGGCTCAACTAACTAACCATAGCCAAAAAACGCTTGACAAAGTTTTCAGGTGCTCAACTAGATTTTTCAAATTTACAAAAAAAATTCATCACTTCCAAGCTCGAAAATTTCTAGTACATTTGCAAACTAACTACCTATGGAAACTTAAGTAAAATCGTTTTCCTTTTTCCCGTCATCTCCAATTTTAATAATTGAGAGCCTAGTTTGGTTTCTAATTATATGAACTGAAAAGTGAACAAAAAAACGCCATGATAAATAGAGCGTTAACGTTAAATTTTTTCATAAAAGCAAGAATTGCCGGTTACTGTGAAAGTAACTGTTATAATTTAAGTGTTGAAAAATCAATTCAAAAACTTAACATGGGGGCAAATAGCAGCTTCGCATCTTTTGCGATACAATGCAAGCGTAGCATTGCCAGCTAGCGAAATAAAAATGAGACAGAAATAACTATGTCGACACTTTTTTTAGGAAAAATATACTAAATTAATTGCATAAAAAATTTGAGCGATAATTGCTAAAACTTTCCATTTTTACACCACGAACAACCTGAAGTTTTTTTAAATATTGATATATATATTTCTCACTTCAAACAGCAGAATATAATTAGTCTGAGCCCATAAAACATTTGCCGAAATCATTTAGGCTAAATAAAGCTTTTAAGCAAAAAAACTAAGAAAAAAATATATAGACAGGGTTAGTAAAATTCAAATTAGAGAAGTAAATCAACAACACTCAATCCGGAAATTGCTTACAGTTTAAGAGAAAACCCTCGCTGGAGCAAATAAGCCGACAAAACATGATCAGACAAACAATAGTCCGACAATTCTATTTTTACCGAAGAAAAAACTTCAATTTCATAAATACTGAAAAAGCAAGGTTCGACTTGAAAGGAACCCCGTCGTTAAGTGTACAAAGGCAACCGCGTTACGTCCAGACCAAGTGAGGTCACTACGGTTCAAAAATAAGTCCGAAAGGAGTTAATGATTTGATAAAATTGAGTGCCGTTTAAATTCAATTCAGTGTCATCAAACTTGGTAAAACTTGGTTAGCAAAATCGGAAAAACTTGAATTAAATTCTCTTGAGGTAGTCAGAATCGGATAAAACAAACACACCCTAATCCATAGTTCTTTCTCCTAAGGGTTACTCAGAATAAAAACAAAGAACACGCCATCTAAAACTTCTAGAAAGCGCTTTGCTCATCATTACTCTTTTGCTTAACATTGCTCATTATTGATAATTTTGTAAATACTGAAATTCTTTGACTACGACAAATTTATCTTATCAGAAACGCCTCAGAAAAACTTTTTTGCTCGAAGATGGAAAACCTTCATGGAAAGCCTTTTGACCGAAGATGGAAAGCGTTTAACCAAGCGACACGAGATGTGCGTGAAAACATGTAAGCTGTCCATGTTAAACAATTCCTATCTACCCATCTTCTTGGAGTTCATTGGAGTGATTCAACTCAATTCGGATTGATCTCTGAGCCGGAATATTTCGCTGCATTTGCTACGCAATTACAGAAAACGAAGTTTTGCCCGCAATCAGTATTCTTAGATGGCGATTTTCAAACCCCTTAAAACAATCAATTAACAAAGGCGAAGCGCAGCTTCACAGCACTAGTGATACGAAAATATATGCTAGTGTTCAGGCGTATAAAATAATTAATTAAATGAAAAAACTGCAATATATTTCATACTTTCCAAAAACTAAGAACTAATTCAAGAGTAAACACAATCATGCTATTTTAAACATACAGTTTTCCCATGACTCATATAGTTAACTCTGGTTAATACTTGATTAATAACTTAAGAGCTTCATCTTGATGTAAGAATTTAAGAATTTTAACTTCAAACTTCTCTTCTGTGTGTTTTTGTATTTTGTTACTATGTGTTTGGATTTTGTGATTTGCTTTATGTCAAACTTCATATTTTTCAGTGCTGATGATGGCTGTAAAGTTCATTATCTTGTTTTTCACATTGATGAGAAAGAAAGTAGTTTACGCTTTTTAATAATTGACCGTTTTTTTCGTATAACTAATCGACTTTAGCCACTTTCAACTTCAAGTTGTCAACAAGATTGCCAACTTGAACTTCAGGAAGAAAACTGAGTCAATGAGTCAATTTTTGTTCCGTTGACAAACCAATCTTAGAAACACACTCAAACCTATAAGCCACTATTTAAACCACTCATTTTCAATTTCAAGATTAAAATTTGTCTTCCTTTTACAAACGAATCGAATAGAAATGAGTTTGAGAGGAAATCACTACGAAAGACAAAAAATAAGCAGAAAACACTTTTCTGGAGAAACATATGAATTGAAGTGGCTTCACTTTGTTTATTGACACTTAAAAAGGAAACTTCAATTTAAGAAACATGCTCCAAAAAAACTTGAAAAACTTGCCGCTGCCACTTGTAATTGCTCCAAAACAAAACACTTAATGTAACTTAAAAGGAAATTGGTAGGCGAGTCCTGAACTACGCAGTTCAAACGATCATACCATGTACTCTAACAACAACTTCGCAAAAATATTTCTCCTTTTAAGCCGTTAAATAGTCATAGTTAAGACTAACAGTATTTGATACAATAGTAAAAATCAAAAATGGTGTCGACCAGTGAAAATGGGGAGGAACTTTGTATTTGGGTGTGTTTTTTTCGAAGGACAATATAAATTTTCCGAAAAAAATTCCCAGTACTGAGAAAATCCCGTCTGAAATTTTTAATCTAATTTCGAGCGAAAAAGGTTTTTTTTCAGCCGTAAGCATTTACCATAAAAAATCATTGTAATGAGAGGACTGATTTATCATACTAAGCCCTTTCAGATCTGATTCGAACGTTTTTTTTTTTAATTTTTAAAGAGTTATCCCAGAGTCAAGAAAAACCGGTTTTAGTCTAATTTCGAGCGAGCAAAGCAAGCCAGCAGGCATATTATAGAACGATGAGATTTATCTTTCATGAAACTTTAGTTGTACTTCAGTAAAACGATTTGTTTTTCAATGCCATTTTTTCACTGTAAAAAATCAAAACAACTGCTAAAAAATTCAAAAACAACTTCTGCTTTAGAAAAATTTTAGTCATTTTTCGAGAAAAAAAAACAGTTGCCCGATTTGCCTATTTTACTGTGACTGTAGAATATGCCTAAACTTTACGATTTTGTGAGATCCTCTCATCACGCCACGCACCAAAAAAACACTATTTTGAAAAAAAAACATGAAAAAACGTCGTATGTATTTTGTAAAGAATATGATCGGAACATTTCGTGCTACTTGAACAACAACAAGCTGTCCTTATTCAAAACTGTTATCAGTAATGATTTATATAGTAAGAATTTTAAAATCTGAACTAAGATAGTCGGACTTTGCTACATAGTAAGGAGCATTTGATTGGTTCTTCGGTTCTATTATCAGTTCTACTGAGCTTACTTAACCTCGTGTTGTTTCATTTTGATTTTCTCAAAGATCCTGAATGTTTCGATCACGGCGGCTGGTTTACGAGTTCTGGATCATTTTCATTCTTGGGTTCATTTTCATCCATTTTTGGGTTCATATTCTCCTGATAACTTTTCATTTGCTTTTCTAGTTAAAATTAATTTCTGCGTTCCATAAAACACACAACTTAGTATCTACACCGCTTGAAGTTTTTGAAAAATGACTGTTCAGCTTATCACGGAGTCAAGCTTCTCCAGACGAACGAAGAGCTTACTAATTTTGATTTTCAGGCTTCACAGGAAATCAACAATTACATCCGTCGAAGAGTGAGAAGAGTAACAAAATCGGACAGCGTTCTCAGACACAATTTTAAATGATTTATTTTGCACGATTTAATTATTGGTAAGCCTTGCGATCGGAAACAAAATTGAAGCTGGTTATTCATGAACGCTGACATATAGAAGATGACTGATAGAAATGAACATTGATTATCTTAGACCGGCTACAACCTGGTCTGTAGAATATTCACCTTACAACAAGTACCGAGCAACGGAATTGCCCATTCAATTTGTAAATAATTCAATAGCGGCGGAAAAACAACTGGATCAGCCATGTTGTAGACGAAAAATGCGCGCTTCGCATACTCAACATTAAAACAAAACGATGAAGTTGTGCGGTCTCTGTATGCCATTCCCCGCGTATTATTTGATATAAAAGAAAAAAAATTGTATTCCAGTGTGTTCCAGTTTTTTACGCAAAATCAGATCCCACAAAAATCATCGATATGGTTCAAGTTTTTCGACTAACTTTCATAGGCTCGTTTCAAATCATGTTCAGTGCTAGGAGAACACAGAAAAAAAACGCAATCACAAGTGCTAAATAAGCATTCAGCATATTCTACCGAGCCGCTACTTAGTCGAAACTACTTGGGCCGAAAACAAAGTTACCTATAGAACTTGTCACCAAAAAATTTAGAAACATCAAGCTTTTATTCTCGAAGACGCCTCACCCCTTTCACTACGACCGACCACCCCGCTAACGTATTGAAGCTGTTCAAATGACAAAATATACACAAATGCGAAGCTGCACATCGCAAGCAAGCAAGAAAACGGCAAAAACTGTCTAAAAAGAAGGTCAAAAAGAGAAGAATGGTGGAACAAAAAATTATCTATCGAACCCTCGAACTCGAGGTTAAGAGTGTTCTAGGACAACAAGCGGACGGGACTTCAAGTCGAAGGGACTTCAGGCCGAAATTTGAACTTTGCAAGCACTTCAAAACACTATTTTTTCATCTGTAAAACATTGCTTTTCTAAAATTTAGTCAAGTTTAGTCCATAAAAAGTGTTACTTTTTGGGATTGGCATCCGTTAATAACACCAGCCGGTTTTTGAAATGCATAAAC